AAGTCGATATTTATATGCTCGTTTATTTCGAATTATCAATATATTTTCTTTACTGATAACAAATCGAATGATATATGGTTTCATAATAACATTTTTGAGTTGAAATCAATGATCGTTCGAAGTATAAACAGATAAAAAAAGGATTAATTGTTATTTTTGATTAGATTTGATTCAAGAGCAAACAATTCCGATATATTATAGCAACGGAATTTGTTTTTGTTTATGTTAAAATAAATTCCGCTTTTATTTTCTTTACTTAAACAAAAAATGGAATGTTTAGTTTTGATAACATTACTTTATGAAATAGGTATCTAGAAATTTTTTTGATTGACGTATGACAGATGTTTACTAGTTTTAAACAATTGAATAAAATATTTTCGAGAATAGACCGATGAGTACAGCGCTCATAAAATAGAAAGAGAAGGCAAAACGCTGTGATATTAATTGATAATCGATGTAGCACTTGACCAGAAGTCTACAATATCTGACGTTAACAATATTTCACTGAATCTAGGGGGCAGACACGTGGAATAGGATGAGACTTTTAGTGTAAAGATTCGAGAAATTGCAATGAAATAGCACCGCCTGTGAATGGATTCGCGTGGAACAGCGAAACAGTGCATGAAATAGCAAAAATTGTTTCACTTCAAATCCATTTGACATTTCTTTTGACGTTTATTGATGGATTAGTGGAATATTGCGGAATAGAAGAATTAATATTTTTGATGGAAACAGTGCATGGAATAGTAAAAATAGTTTCGATTTCATATTTGTGTTTTTGGATTAGTGGAATAGCTGGATTAGTAATTTATATAGTGGATTCGGAATTTATTCTTGGTGTCTCCCCCCTAGCACTGGATATTTATACGGAAGGAAGTGTCAAGGTTCAAAAGATAACATCAAAGAAATTATCACTTCGCGAAATAAATTCAAATATCTTTGCACCATATAAATGCTAGAAATTCGCAACAGTAAGTGGTGTACTTATATGACAGGTACGTAGCGAGGTTATATAGCACTATAGAGGTTTTCAGAGTTCACTCCTGTATGATTTTATTTTTTGATATGTGAAAACGTCCGTTTATCATTGTTTCCCCTATTCGCTACATTGAACGATAGCGTGAACATAATTTTCTTCACTAAATTTCAGCTCCTGACGATATCTGGCTGAGCTGATTCATCTGGCTGAAAATATCTCATTATAATGTCTGAATAAAACTTAAATTTGTTGAAAAAGGAATGTTGGGATCACACACACACTTTATCGCATTCCAAAATGGTATTCCTTAACAGCGAAAATTGAGATTTGGTAGTAGCAGCGGAGAGAACAACACACAAAGAATCAATGTTGTACACACAATAGCATTGCATCGGAACAACGTCACAACGACGACAACATGGCGACGCAAACGGATAAACGAAAACTGTATCAACAGCAACAAGAAATCACATTCGGGTAAGTTCGTTTGAATATTCTACTCTGTTGTCATAATTGTCATGTTTTGCATAGTAGCTAACGCATTCGCTGTTCAATATCGGCCACTGTCAACGACAAACCGATTTGAATGTGTTGGTGTGAGAGTGTATTTGATTGCGACATTTCAAACCAACAAGTCGGCAACAAGTCACATCGTCTTGAACCATCATCAGTGTAAGAACTAAAATTGCTGCGCATAAATTTTCAGTTTGCATTGAAAGTGAAATATTCTCTCGAATTGGATTTTTGTCGGTTTTTCCAAAAAAAGTGTTCGGTAAGTATTATTTCAAAATATAATATTAAACAGAATTTTCGAATTTTTTTTACAAAAAATTGACTGCATGCTAGAATTAGATTGAGATAGAGAGAATACAATACAAAATCATGTTCAATTATGAATTTCATCATTGCACACAGTGGATTACGGGTACCGCTAGCCAATAAAGCGACGCAGTTTCTTATGATTTTTCAAAGTCTACTTTGACAACGATATGCAATTGAATATTTTTTAGATTGATTTTTTTCATATTTAAAAAAAAAAAATTTTTGTTTTCAACATTTATCCATTGGCAAGAATATAATGTAATTTTGTGTGTGCTGTTTTTCTTCTCTCACATTTCATTAGCAATAGCCAGCAATGGCCAGTATATCCAGCGAATACGATGATTCCGATGAAGACGAAGAAGAAGAAAAAGAGGAGGCGAGAGACAAAGTTTTGGCCAAGCGTATTCATTTCAACGAGGTAAGTGCATTTGAATCAAGTTCATTCATGTCATCATATATTTTTTTCATGTCATTTCTTAATTTATATTGTTTTTGTGGGTGTCATTTGTTTTATCCAGGTTCAATATCTCGTCGAAAACGATATTCGAGATTCTAAATGGGTGCGCAAAGAAATGGTCAAAAGTGAACATCGTCTCCTTGAATTTGAGTTGGAAACTCGCCAAAGTGGACTCGACGAAGTGGACTGGGATCCATTGCCCATTCAAATCATTAATGCCATTACCATTAATGGAGCGGTGAGTTTTTGACAAACATTTCAAACATGAATTTCAATTTAATCGAATTCTAAGCAATAACATATAATATTCCTTCTAACTATAGATCGAATATTTGGTGCAGTTCAGTGATGGCACACAAGCAATGGTCTCTTTCACATGCGGTCCGATGCTACAACTAATCAGTCAATTTGAAAAAGATCGCATTTATAAATCTGTTGTTCGATTGGATCGATTGAGTGAA